TAACAAATAGAATTCAAGTGTACTGACATTTTCGCTAACATGACCTCTTCTATTGGTCCTAGCATATTTAATACGTGCATAAATTTATTGTCCAAGTATAGAAGTGTTTTAAAGACAGACTATCCATGAATGATTGTCCTATACATGGATATTTATGGTCCTGTCGGGTACGCATCAGTCCGTCCGTCCGTCCTTTTCGGGCGGGGCGGGTCCGTCCGTCCGTCCGCTTTTGAGACCCTACCCAGTTTGCCCCCTCTTTCCAAAAATCCTGGCTACGCCACTGCACCCTGCCACCCGTTGGCTGATTGGTTGGTTGTATACAGCAGATCCTATAACTCCCAGCATGGCTGCTTGTATAATACAGACCCAAGAGAAGTGGTATAGCTGGCAAGGGAACTGGTCTTTCTGATAGGACCTACTGGAGTAATGTCGCTGCCTGTTACATTAAGAGTGGTTTTACAAGGGTTGGAGAGAGATTGGTGGGCTAGGGCCTCGTCTGGTTCCAATAAAGATTGTAATCTGACATCATAACTAACTAGTAATGAGATGGAGACGGTAACTGAAAAACAAATAAAATACTCTTCATTTAGTGCATGTATACATGTAATGTAATGTAGATAAATTGATAATCTCAACTGCATTGTAACACACACAATTAATAGGCAAAACAATAGATACAGCAAGTATACTCATACTGAGTTTTTGTTCTTCAGTTTCAATCCTTTCTTCTGTTAGTTTCAAGTTGTTTTTTGAATGCATTCATTAAATTGTAAGGTTTTTAAAAAATATTATTTCATTCTTTATTTTTTAAACAATGATAATAATAACAATAATAACATTTTACACATACATGTATTACTCTTAAAATGCCGTTAACTTGAAAAATTGACATTGGAATCAGCTCAAACTTCCTACATAACATAAGGACATCCATATACAATGTAGATCTATATCAAGCAGTGTAACAAAATTTAGGATAATTTTGGAGCCATTATTTGGAAAAAACATCAACTATTTCTCAAAAATTAGTACACATAATACATTGTATTCTTTGTAAAAATTGCCATAATGCAAAAAACACAAAAATTAATATACAATTTACTTTGGAACAGAATTGAATTTTTCAATAATTGTCTGTGCTTTGATCTCGATCATAAATATGTTTCAATCGGGTCATGAGTACTCGAGTGACCACGTGTACATGTTTGACTGTTTGTGTATTTGTCATTAATCATGTGATCACTGTCAGTAAGGTGTGGCCAATTCCAATGCTGTCCATTGCATGTTAGCTCAGTAGCACTTCTCACAGTGCTGTGTGAACATAGTATTTTATATGTATATAATGCTGCATATACGCAAAGGCATCTCTGCTTCTTTCTAAATACTTTTGTAAAGCTACTAAATTAAAAGCATAAAACTACACACACAGCATGTAAAATAAAAAGTGCATATAAAAATAGAAACATATAATGTGTTTGCTCCTGTAATCATTATCTTGTTCATCTATCTGCTAAAAAGAATAATTATTTTGATGACTGATAACTTACATGAAGCAGCAATTTTGTCAGCTATTGCAGAAAGAGCAACATGTTCCTGTTCTTTTAGTTTAGAGAGGAACTCGCTAATTTGATCAGGACAATATTCAATTAATAATGTAATATTTCCAATAAAAAGTTCTACTCTTTTTGATAAAGAATGGTGAATCATCCCATCAAATAACTCATTATACTGAGAAGAATTAATAATTTGTACCTCCTTACAACTGTTAGCTATGTCACGAAACATTGCTTCTGAAGATGAAAGAAAACGTTTCAGATCATTAAAATGCTTCTTGATGTCATTCTGTGAACCAAGACTAGGACCATCCTTAATGTTAACAGAATAAGCTGCATCTGCTGCATGCACTATTAACTATTATTGATATAATGCCATAAAATACCTGATAAATCTCTTAGTGATCGGTTAATAATAATCTCCATTGGGTCCTGTACACCTTTCAACGGTACAGAATAACTCAAATTAGGTACAGTATCAGGACTATTCTCAGCATATATTGATACCAAACAAGACGGAGGAATTGTAGTACTAATGCCACCAAAACCAAGTATTTCATGTTCTTTTATCTATCAAACAAATTAAAACTAATTGTCTCATAAATGACATGAATTACTTGACAAGGCATCACATGTGGTCTTATCTTCCATCCAGTTATTGGTTCTCTTTGTTGCTCATCATCAAATGCCAATTCGATACATCCTTTTGGTGATTTGAGTTTAAAAGTAATACTTTGATCAAACTCTGGATGAGAGTACTTCTTTTCAATATACTAATTATTATTTCAAGAGGCAAAAATAATAATTACAAAGGATAATAACTTAATTTACCTGATGTAGGGCATTCAACTCTGTAGAGGCTGCAAATCTCATTTTATCTGGTCGTTGATAAAACACTTGTCCAGCATATACTGTAGCCTCAGTTATACCAGTTGAACAAGTAGGAACAACTAAAAGTGACAAAGAATTTGTTACCAATCAATTTCAATATCCATATCACTCACTAGTTTTAGATTGTGATGTACTTAATTCAGAGTCTTCTGTACAATCCACTGGCTCCTTCAGCCCATTCCCTTCCTCCTCTCTATCACTCCTTCCTACTCCACCTGGTTCTCCTTCTTGTCCTCCAGCTCCTTGTCCTTCTCTTTGTCCCTTACCCTCATCTCCTGAGTCTCCATCTTCCTGTCCATTCCTCTCCTCATTGCTACCTCCTCCATTTTCCTCTTCTTCTATGCCAACAATAGCTAATTGACAGAACTTGCTTCGTTCAATTGATCCATATCTCTGGTATACTGGAAACTCCCCTCCTTCAATTAGTGAGAACTGGTAAGGAAGACTAGCTGTGTGAACTGGAGCAACAGCAAATTTAAGATACTTGGATAAAGAAGGATCACTGAGATCAATACAGTGTTGCATTTCTATCCTCAATGACTTGAGGAGTGGACTGGTTGATATTGCATACACTGCACTGACTAGTCTAGTATTATCAGGAAACCTGTAAAGGAATTAACAATTAAAAACAGATACATGTACATGTGTATTTATAACATATAGTGGGTGACTTTTGTCAAGTAAAATTTTTTTTATTGTATCAAAAATTGAAATTTGGTGCATTATCCATATTTAACTGCTCTAATTCATAAAATCAATTGTTTTCCCTGACAAAAGTTACACACAATACAGTAATTATTGCATCACATGACATGTACAACTGTACTTGAAGTGTCCTCCTACAAGAGCTAGTACTGATACTTCTACAGTCTCTGATGCTGATAGACTATCCTCTGGTACACTAATCCTCAGTCCATACTCCTCCCAGTTCATCAGTTGAGGTTTGCCTCCTTGAACTAAGAACAACTTCTTCCCTGCTATTTGGGACTCACTCAGACCTTCTAAATTATCTGTAGTAAAGTATAACAAGTAAAATTATGTAATGTTAAAATGTGTAATTATGGACAAAAATGAGATAATGAACCAAAATTCATGTACATGTAAATTAAGGTACAATGAGTGACATTGTACAGTATATGAAGCAACTTTCAAAAATTATTTTTAAAATCCAATTTTGATCGGAACAAGCTCAAATTTCTACACAATACAAGTACATGTATATGTATCAGGAAAAATTATAAAAAGTAGCTGACTAAAAATTCAACTTTGATTAGAACCAGCTCAAACTTGCTACACAACATAAGAACATGTATATGCATC